CCTGTCCAGCAGGTATAATTAGAAAAGCACAGGTAGATGAATGACATTACATCTTCTTGCCAAGGTTCTAGGTAGAATGCGTACCTGAGATATACCATCTGCTCACTGTACTGAGAGCTAGTAGGTCACTTCTCCACATTCCTTAACTTTAACATTGAGTGATTGCACTCTGGTAGATAGACTATTCTTGGAATGAAAGCATCTCTAATAAGATAAGGAAAAAATGAAACTCCAGGTTCCAGGTTTTCAAAAATGTCTTCTTGAGATATACCATCTGCTTAGAGGTAGAAAGTCATTACTTGACATACTTTAACTTTAATCACATAGATTGCCTGACCATCTGACTCTCAACAGATAATAATAAGACTCTATACTTGGAATGAAACCATCTGTAATAACAAAAGGGGGAAAACAAATGAAACTTTTCTTACCTGTCCAACAGATGTAATTAGAAAAACACAGGTACAAGACCTACAGGTAGATATTGACATTACATCTTAGCCTTGTTTCTTGCCAAGGTTCCAGGTAAAATGTGTACCTGAGATATACCATCTGCTGATATGAGAGAAAGAATGTCATTACCTGAGATACTTTTAATTTGATTGAATGCTGTTCTGGCTCGCAATAAATGATGTAGCAATTAAGTTTGTACTTCCATCTTGGAATTAAAACCAAGTCAACATTCCAGCAATATTTAAAAAAATGTAAAAAGAAGTTTGTCAAATACAGAATCAAATCATTAAATCAAAAGTGTATCTTCCAGCTGTAGCAATGCAAGTATATGAATGATACATTGCTGATATGATATGTATCTTTTAAATGATGTGAAGATTTATCATTGAATTGCCTTCAAAGTCCTTAAAATTATTTGAGAAGCCCCTTATATGCTTCTTTATGCTGTTTGAAATGATGAGAATGCTTTTTGCTCTCATGTTGCATGTTTTTCAGAAATACCTGAAATAGTCACTTTCATTCACAACACAACATTCTCTGCAAGTAATGATGGAGTGGGCAATTTACGACATCGTCCAATAAATTCATCAGAACTCTTTTTGATTTAAAGAAATTATGGAACATTAATGTTATATTGAAGAGCTGTATGAAGTACATGAAGATAACAACATAGTGACAAAGTCATAATATTCATTCTTTCCAATCTATCACGGTAATATATTCATGTATGCGGCCAACTGTTTAAGTCAGCTGCACTGATCCTAGATGATGGGGAGGTATGGGACAGAAGAGACAGAAACGGGTCCGGAGAAGGAAACGCTGCTGAGGGACATATCGGAACATTCAGGATGTATTTCCCAAAATGAAATATTGCCAGGATATTTCACTCGTCGTGGGTGGATGCTGGGTTAAGACATAAGTGTTTTTCTCATTTAAGCTCCCCTGTGAACATTTAGGATGCATTTTCATGATATGAAATATCGCGGGGGTAATCATACTTCACATGTCTTGGATGGATGCAGGCCATGCTTGTAAGTGTTGATCCCCTTTCAGCCGTTCTTTGTTCCCCCCTCTCATACGCGGATCCAACTACCCATATCTACTCTGACAGAACATTCAAGTTTCATTTTCATCATATGAGATATTGCCGAGACACTCCACTCCATCCTCTCGGATTGATGCGGTCCGAGACGATATAAGTGTTGGCCCCCTTTAAGCTGCTCTGTGCCCTAGCTCCTCTCATCTGCGGATCTAATCATCCGCTCTGACGCTCGGAGGAAAGATCTACAAATATGAGGCAGCATTGCTCAAGGGCCGCATCTCTGCTCAAGTACACTCCCTCATCTTATATTGTCAGGAGTACCGGTAGTAAGGGGTAGTAGTGGGTGCTATCTCTGTGGGAGATACAGGGCCAGGGGAAGGAGAGGATCATCATATCGGCAAAGCCCGATTCCTCCTTTTCTAGCATGTCAACTAATTAATTCTACATTTTGTTCTAAATTGATCTATTTGACAAATTGGATTTTGTGGTTTGAAAGAAAGAAAGGCTTATTAGAAGGATGACTGAAAAATATATTTGTGTTTACAAATTGGGATATTATGATGCTTCTTGAATGAAGTACAGTGATTGCCTTGTGATATGGACATTGTCAGTAATATCAAATCAACTTCTGAGACAAGCGAGATTGGCTTAATTTGATAGTACAAATAATGAGTTTTGTGCTCTGCTGCCTCTCATCTGACCAAATATTATGCTTCTAATATCTTATTCCCCTGCCATCTTCCATATTAATATTACTGCAAGAGGAGGAGGAGGCATTGCATCTCCCCAGCGGTATACGCCCTGAGTCACTGTAGAGCCGTAGCCGCTACTCTCAGTGGTCACTTGATAGCAGTGATCGGGAGGACGCGAAGATGAGTTATTGTCCATGTAATGCACGCTGCAGGGGATTGAACAAATAATGTTTTTTATGTTTGTTCCCCTCGGAGAAGTCAATATCATCTGATAAAAATGTTCTAGCGGCAAATTTGAAGTTGGGTATCAAATGACCTTGGGGAGTAATGAATGAAGAGTTTATTATTCCTGTGATGTCTCTATTTGTACCTCTGCAATTATTTAATATCAAGGTATTTCGTTCGGAAGAGGAAAATATGGGATTATCTGCAGTTCAGTTTCTGCTTCCTCTTCTTTATATCATATTTAATCAACTTATACTTGTGTGTTCCCTTTTCCCATTTTATATTTGCATGAGAGAGAGAGAGAGAGAGAGAGAGAGAGAGAGAGCCGTAGAGAGAGACAGAGAAAGTTAGAGAGAGAGAGAGAGAGAGCCGTAGAGAGAGACAGAGAAAGTTAGAGAGAGAGAGAGAGAGAGAGAGAGAGAGAGATGGGGGGGGGGGGGCAGAGGAGAAAGAGAGGATGGGAAAGATAATTATAAAGAGATTGAATATAAGATACAATGACTCTTTCGAGAAAGGAAAAATAATTCCAGTTATCACACTTCAAGTAGACCCTCATTCTAATTTATGTGCAGTGGATTTTGAGAACACCTTTGCATACAAATATATTTTTGAAGGAAAAGATAAGATATCGCAAATGATATTGACCGGACATCCTGTTCTACACATTTGAATACCAATAGTCTCTACTTGAGACTAAATAAACTTTGTTAGCCCCACCCCAATAAAAGACCAATGGAAGTAAACCAGTAGAGCATTATGGCTACTTATTAACAGTCAAGGGTGTCACAACCCCTGTTTAATTAATACTAAACCATTAAACCCCCCAGGTCCTTCATATGCAAATGAGAGCGCAAACAATAGCGGGTAATCAGGGGTTTGAGCTTGGCTGATAAGATGATAAATAAGGCTGGGGATTATGGACGATTGTCTAGATGGATTAATGAGTCTAGTCATAAAGCAAGGCTGGTTGAGGCCTCTGATTTATCCCTAGAGAATCAGATTGGCTGAATTCTGAATGATGCTTTGAGATGAAATGTCTAGAGGGGATCAAAAGAGGTATTGATTTTAGACACATCAATCTGAAATCTCCTATTGTCTCTGTACTGGTTGGGAGGTATGCATGATGTGTCCTGGAAGCAGAAGGATATTAGATAGCTATTGTATATTTGGGAAAAGTTGGGGTGTATCTGATTCAATTTCTAAGTCTTCAAATCAAGTTCAATTCTAGAAACCAGAGTACATATGCGATTGGCAGATTGGGGACATGATTGAATAGGACAAATCACAGGAGATTGTCCACATCTGTATTTGCTGAGTGCATATATTCTTCCCTCAAGTTCACCGACTCTTAGTTATAATATATTCATGAACCAATCCTAGATTTGATCTTGACGAACAAGCCTGTAATATGACTGACAATCATGACTATTTATGTCTGACTGACTCACAATTCCCGGTAGAATATAGATAACTCTTGTTCTTTTAGATCAAACATCAGGAATAAACACTACCTGGTATCCAAGTGTTGCATGTTTCCAACGGTCATTGAAACCGTCTCCACGATTCAAGTGTCCAGTCTGATAGTCTACTGGCCGTGTTTGACCGCTTTACAATGGGTTCCTTCTCCAGACCAAGCTTTGTTTGACCTGGGCAGTCTACTACTGGTTTCAACTTTCCAATTTAATCAGGAACAAAAATAGATAAATAGAAAGTGAGCTTAAACAATGCACCATGGGTTGTATTCACTGAAATCTGTGATAACAGTGGGATGAGGAGTTAGTCTAATTCATGACGTCTTCAATTTTATTGTGAAGAGACTTAAAAATAACAATGATTCATACTATTGATTATTTCCCTATAACAATACATTACCAGCCACTAAGTATCACTTCCTAAATATGTACTTAAAAGGAATTGTTTTTAAAAAGAAGGATGTTGAAATAAGAGATGGAAGGTTTGTTTAACAATGCTTCCTTGTTTGTCAAGCCAAGAGGAATGAATTTTTTTCCTTTTCTTTCATCAACCCAAACATCAAGTTTACATTTCTTTCAATCATACTATTTCCTCACTCACTTCATAATATTCATAAGGCTATTGATTGTTTACTTGAGCTGCGAGTCCTCTGGTCCAGGATTACTTCAATTTTAGACTTTGGTTTACTAATATGGAGTGTATGAGAATTTATTCTATCTTGACCCCTGCAACCCGAACAAACACAGAACTCACCATGAGCTTTGAAAACAACTACTCCGTCTGCTAGCCAAACTTTATAGAGAAATCAGAAAGCACATCCATCATAGCGGAGATTAAATCTCTGCGTCTGTTTGATTTTGGGTATTCAGTCTCTCCACGGGTGCCCAGAAACGGGCTAAAGGAGCCCCTCTTTGATGGAGGACTGGGAAAACAGATTAACCAGGACCAAATGCAGTCAATCAATATTGAGTTTTCAAAATGGAACAAACAGTATTAAACTGATATGACTGATTTGGGAGCAGATTATAGACTTGGACCAATGTTTGGTTCTTTGGTTCTTTTATCAAGCAGATTTTTAAAATCACTTTTGGAGACACCTCTGAGTTGAGTCTGCTTTAATAGATCAGGAGAGGGGAGGGGCATGTTGGTCAATAAATTGTCTTTAGTACGGGTCTAGGGTTGGCTAATCAATCAGTGATTGGACTTGGAGGTGGATCCATCTACGGTTCACTGCTCAAGTCAAGAAAGCTTCTGAAGAGTCTCTCGGGTCTTTGTATGTAGTGGATCCAGAGTTAGGTCTTCATCTAGGTCCCCTTCTTTCAGGTTCAAGGGGAGTTCATGTCTGTCAGACAGCTTGTAGAAATTAGCCTGGCTTCACCCTCCTGCTTCAAATTAGTCCAGGACTAAGAAGTTTACTGTACCACGTCGTCGTGATGGAGAAAGCCCTTGTATTGTGGTGATGCAAACTCGGTGAACAAAGTTGATGTACACGTATGTTCATGTTTATGTCATGATCTTCACAATTTTCTATATTTAGAGGAATAGACTTGATTGCTGATGCCTGATGTTGTAAATCGATTTGGAATTCACTTTTTCACTTTTCATTTTATCATCGACAGGACACCAGTGAACCTAGCGTGAACTTGAGTGGGTGAAGCAAGCGGATAGTTTTCTCCAGCACCTGATAAACCAAAGAAACCAACATGCTGCTGCCTTCATGCTTGAGATGCTGGCTAACTTCAGTCACCATCTGCATCCTCCATGTATTCTCTACATCACAAGCAACAAGCTCGTGGAGGGATCCAGAGCCAAATCTTATATCACTGGACAGCTACACAAGTAAGTTTTTAACTTATTTTTTCTTCTTATAAAAAGGTTAAAAATTGATTAATTCCCTTCACTCTCTCTATCATAATCACACTCTTTCCCTCTTTCCCTTCCCTCTTTCTCTCTCTCTCCCTTAGTCTTTCCGTCTTCCCTCTTTCCTTCCCCCCCCCCCCCTGTCTGTCTCAAAATCCACCTCCCTCTCTCTCTCTATTCTCACTCCAGGTCTCTTTCCCCATCTCCTCTCTTTCTCTATCTTAAATCTTGATCACGTAACTGCTGTCAAATTCAGTTTCTCAAAGGACAACTTTGAAGTGTCATTTGGAAAGATGAAAAGCCTGTTCCTTAGTCAATTAGCTGCTACCATCAATTTGCCCACCATGGGATTAGGGAGCATTTCCTTATAGTGAAATAAAAGAAAACTCAAAAGAAATCTTACGGTAGCAGATTCAGCTCTTTTGGCCAGTTTAAAGTGCTTGTTTCAGAGAAACAGAAAGTGATCGCACTTGTTCACAGGTCCCAAGTACGACATTGTCTAGATGTTTTTCGCCTGGAGGAAAAAAGTAAGCTGCTAATATGAGATTTAGTTAATACCAGTACCCATTCAGAGTTGTTTATTGAGGGCTCACGGTAAGAAAGGAGTACGGGAGAAGGAAGGGATAAATCTGGTTTTTGTTGAAGCTAGGACTGGAGTTTCTTTTCCCCTCTGTGGAAAGCAATATCCCCTTACTATTGACACAGCAGCGAAACATGTGATAGGGAATGAGTGGTGAGAGAGGTCTAGCTGTAGAGTAAACACGCACCTGTTTTCTGGTACCGCTGGTTACCTGCGCGTACCTTGGTGTACAGCTATTCGGGGAACATTCCCTCATGTACACGTACAGGATCACACTCATACAGGATCACTCGTTCACCACAGAGTGACGAATGGAGCTCGATGTTTAGGGGTATGACGTAACAAAAACATTCATAAGAGAGAGAGAGAGAGAGAGAGAGAGAGGAAGAAAAAAGGGGAGGGGGAGGGGGACCACATTCATGTTCATATTGGATGGTTCAGTAAGATTTTGGTTAAAATGCTACTTTCGGTCCCTTTAAATTACTTGATTAATATTTTGGAGACAATCATGACATTTGACATTCAGTGTGGGGTGTGCCTTATTGCCAATCGTGAAAAATGGCGCCAACCCTCCGATTCAAGAAATGAATCAATTCTAAATCATTATCCATGATGACGTTTCTGATCACTTATTCACCTACCGAGCTTCAAAGAAAATCCCCAACCCATCGGTGAGAGCCAAATTGACATCATGCTGTACGAGGGGAAACTCTTCATTTTGTTCTGCCCGGGTCAGCCAAAAAGTACTCTGCGATCGCAGACAATGAACCAAATGAGAAAAGCTATCAGAAATGATTGTCTCTGATCTCGTGAACAGGAAATCTTGGATAATAGGAGATCGACAAGATAGCTATCGCATTGGAACATGAGCAACTTGTGAATGTTTCTAGAGAGCATGAACTGTCCTTTGACTTTGGTTTCCATCGTCTAGCATTCTTGGCAGTGCTTGGCTTGGCTGACTAAAAGAAGGTCATTACATACCTCGTTAGTCTTTAACAATATTAGTTTTGGAGTTGAATGTTGATGAACTTCTTCATTGACATGGCAGTATTTCTGACCTCTTATTTCTAAATCCTGAATCACTTGTTAGTGGTTTGCTTGTGAGGTTCGTCAATGGGCTGTGGTTTGGTCTCAATGATCTGTGGTTTGGTCTTGGGGGCCAACCTACGCCCAAACTTTGACCAAACTTTGACCACTCCTTGATTAGGGCCTTCTTGTTAATCTCGTTTTTGAGAGATTTTAGTTGATGAGTGATAATGATCACAATCATAATGATGAGAACTGGGTCATTTTGTAAATAAAAGACAAAAAGATAGAAACACAATAAACAGAATGGATTAAGGTACAAGTTCAGAAAATGAAGATAATGGTTAGAAGCAAAGAAGCGAAACAAATCTGGGATAAATTTGGTGTGAAACAGAGAAAAATTGAAAAATTCTATTGAGGCTGAGAAGATTATCATTATAAGATCTGTCCCAGTTGTTCAATAAAAGGAGTAAAGTTTTTTGTTTGAAACGTTTCAATTGACTGGCTCCGTATCACGATCAAAATGTGATTTGTATGGGGTATTGTGTCTGGTGATATTAGATGAAGAGAGATAAGGGAGATTTCAATAGGAACCTATTGATACTGCCATGAATTAATCATTTAACTCCATTTTGCCGCAGGCTTCTATGCCGTGCCTCCTCACACATCCATCGGCACGTGTGATCTTTCCAAATCAGAGCCTTTTCTTTTCTCTTTATCTCATCTCGCTTCGCTTGACAGATTTAAAACCAAGTTCAAAAGAAGAAAACTTATATTTTTCATAATGCTATTCATAAGCTGGCATTGTTCACAGCTAGGTCTGATTTTAAAGAGTAAAAGCTTTTAAATTTGCAAGTGAGCAGTCTTCCAGAAAAGTGATTTCATGACTCAAATTAGCTCTTTCAATTTTATCCCATTTGAGGTTTAGCAAAAATGAACTTGTCAATAATGATCACGAATTCAATCTTGATCTCATACAAAGTCTACAGCAAACATAATTTACAATTTATATGATCATTTTCAGCAAGAGCTCTTGGTTTTTCTTTTACCCAAAGAAAAAAAGAATTCTTCCTCAAAGAATTTGTTTTCACCTAATGGAAGTATGATTGGATTAAGAGTAATGTGTTTTCTAAATATATTTATTATGGAGCCCAAAGATGTAGCTTTATCTCACAAAAAGAAACTAATTGGCTATTCTGCTGATATGGGTCTGCTGGAGGCATCTTGTCGATGGCCAGATCTTCTTTGCCTTTGAAATCACTAATGACAAACCTAGAGCAATCCGCCCACCATTCAATACAAATTCAAACCCCCATCACAACAATAACGAGCATCCATTTTTATGTCTGTCCATGTCTCCCTTTTTTCTTCCCGTTTTGAAAATATGCCTCTCGGGACTCATGAGCTATCTTTTAAAGACTCGTTATGTACCATTACTGAATCAGAGGATTCACTTTGTCACCGTTTATAGCTCACGGAAAGCAAAATAAGATAGCTTCATACGAAAAAAGAAGAGAATATGTAAAAAAAGGAGTAGAAAGATCTATTTGCTTTGCTGATTGAATTCAGCCGTGCCAATATTGGGTAGTCCTATTCCACAGCATCGAGCGTGGGTATGTAAATGTGTGACAAGATGAGATTTTTCTCGCTGCCTGCATATGGCTGGAAAGAGAGATGATTTCATAAGGAGAAAGGAATGAGTGACAGTTAGGAAACAATTTACACAATTCAAATCTAAACAGGTGCCGATGAAGAGGACGATGATGTAAAACTTTGTTATTTAACAAGAAACCATTGTCGGGTGCACTTACGATGTACTTTCAGAGAGAAAATAGTCATCTATTTCTAAGCTTGATGCCAAATCTTTTTGCTTTTCCGAAACAATAACATTTATTGACTTATTTCATTTGCCGACAATTTTCTATCATTTTTTATTTTCTGTTACGTCAGAAGAGAATTATCGACTTATTTCATTAGCAGACAGTGCCTTACCCTTATTTTTAACAACAATTGCTCAGCGAATGTCGTTTGCAAGGAAACATCGGCATGATTATTGCACGTAGGTGCATGCACTTTTGGAGTGCTCTAACTTCTATTCTCAGTCATCGTGAATGACGTTCTATCAATCTTTCATCGACCAATGTAGGAACAAGCAGTTGCCATGGATACACTTGCATAAAATGCTAAGCCAAGCATGATCTAATGAAATAATAGAATAGATAGTTGAGTTGACATATTTCACACTTCCATCTCTCTTTCTCTCTCTCTCTCTTCTTTCTTTCTCAATCTCTCTATCTCTCTTTTTTTTCCTTGTGTATTTCCATTCTGTTGACTCCTTCAATAAAGATGTGTCTTCTCGTTTTAATTCCACAAGGCATTATTTGCTCTGCTGTTGTTCAACCCACCTCCCATTTGATTCTGAATTGTCTAGTTTCACCCCATTTTGTTCTTCAAACTGCAATTGATGTAGGGTTATGATGAGAACCAATGTGAAGACAATTTAAGGCAATGAACTTTGAAGTTCACGAAATTACAAATAAATTGAACTGGAGGACTGGTGTTTTGCCCATTCTAGAGTAAATTTAGCACGCTTTAGTTCCAGAAAGAAGAAAAAGTTTGAGAAAGAAAGAATAGACTGTTTTGCTTGACCCTTTCATGAGAGTTCACAGTGTAGTCTCTTGCTCAGACTCTTACACGTATTAGTACTCGCTCTTATCAAAGAATGTCAGATCCTTGCTGTACACATGTTCATTGCCTGTATGTGGCAAGTTTAGTTGGAAAAGGGGAGTTCTTCAGAATATTTGATTTAGTAATGATTTTTAGGTTTATTTCTTGGAGAGCTTTGACATTGAAGTGTTTTTGATACCATGGAGGACTAATAATTTAGGGAGTAGAGTGATTTTTGTGTGTGACCTGACCCCAATCAACAAGCTAATGTCGTTGTACACCCTACACCTCCACTCACAGCTTGGGCCCTTCTGCATCTCCAGTAGCTTTCATGCTGCGTTAGCTGATTCATGATGAGAAACATGGGCCAGTTTGGTTTGTACAGGAGATCCAGGCGCGTAGCCAGGGGGGGGCAGTGGGGGCGGTCGCCCCCCCCAAAACGCCGGCCAAAAAAAAAAGAGAGAGAAAGAGAAGAAAAAAAAGAAAGAGGACGTAGGAAGAAAAAGGGAAAAGGAGTCGAGAACGGTACAATGAATCGTCAAGGCTGCCGCGCTTCGCGCGGGAAGGGGGAAACTGAGTTCAAATTAAGAAATATGAGTCGGGAAAGGTACAACGAATCGTCTTCTTTCTCTAATAATTTAATGAAACGTCAAAGCTTCGCGCGAGAGGGGGGGGGGAACAGAATTCAGACAAGGATTAAGAGTCG